GCATGCTGAGTGTCCGGGGCGTCAACCCAGGGAACCAGTTTGGCCACTAACTTGGTTGTTGGTGTTCCGGCTTCGTTCGCCTTTTGCTCTGCTTGATCCATTTGTTGCTGTGGGTCAAGCGGCGCTTTGAGACCGGACGGTTGCACGACGGAAACACAAGCCCATGTGGCTCCGCGAAGCTCGTTTGTTGCGAGCATGTCAGGATCTAGCCAGACACGGAAGCCATCATTCGAATCTGTCTCTGCCTCGTCATCGAAGAATTGCCCCGATAAATGGCGTTCAACTCCTCTGAAGAAGAGCGAACCTCTGCTTGTAGGATCTGAGCGGCTGCTCTTTGGCCGCACCGTGCTTCCGCTACTTCGTCCACCCACGCTTTTCCGGCTACTGCCAGCGACGCTGCGATTGTCACCGCGAGATCCCCTGTTAGCCTTGGGTCGGGTTTTTGGAGCAACGATAACTTCCGCATCTGGGGCTATCTTCGCAAACGGCGAGGTGTTAGGAGGTACGGGCGTCATAGAGGTGATAACGATATTCGCAGTTGAGGTCGGTGACAGATGTAGCGCAAGGGGATGCATGTGTTCTGACTGTGTTGTAGTATATGCAGGATTTGGTAGGGCGCGGATCTGCGATAGGAGATTAAGTTCTAAGAATGTAGCGTGGAGTTCGATAACTATGTGACAGCGAACTCAATGTCAGCAAGCGGATTTGATGTGAGGACAATTGCCTTGGGGGGGGGGGGCAATGGAGGGCAATTATACTTTCCCAGTCCTCTGGTGTCAGCGGCTCAATGTTGATGGTATGAGCTACCGGAGGATCAAGATGAATATAGATTCCGACCTGCTGTACATTAGAACTACGAGCACTAAAAAGGCTGAGGGCACATTTACCTTCTGTCCATCCGCCAGTCCGAGGACTCGGCCGAAGGTGGTATCTAACTCAACAGTAGAGATCTCCTGCTCTCTGGCAGCAGAGCTACTGTTGATACCATCTCTTCCAACAACAGGGGCAAGCTTGCGCTTGCTGGGCATACCCGTCCAGCCTAAATAGCATGAGCGATGCGTGGAGTTGCTATTGCTCTTTCCAGCAGCTGGCCGGTATTGGAGCTCGACGATCACATTCTGAGCAGCCTATAGACTTTAGCTTTGAAATCACCGTGTTGCGCAGAGTAGCTCGCAGCGAGAGATGGTAGCTTACTGTGTTGGCATTGACCAGCAGTGCGACCAGCGACGGCGGGAGATTGACCAGACAGTTCTTCAGAGGCACCAGAGAGACTTCGGCAGTAGTGGAGGGCTTTCTAGGCGCCATTGTTGCGCGCCAAAGAGCAGAATTCAGATTCTAGGTGGAGGGGGAACAGTGTCTATCTGAGATGACATGAATAAATCAAGATTGACAAGTGCGCAACATCAACCCCGGACTTCGTCGCTCATTGACTCCGCAAGCTCGCCGTTCGCCGAGGCCGGCCCGCCTTGAGCACTCGGGCCGAGGGTTGATCCGCTCCGACACACGTGCCCCTCCGCTAGAGCGAATTGGGCCTAGCAGGTAATGGAAAGTCTGAGACACGAAAAGACGCGTCGCGACGTGTCTTTGCAATTAAGGCCTGGTTTGGTCTAGTGCCCATCCCACTGGCCCCAGCGACGAGAGCTGCCAAGACAACCACCACAGCAACCGCCCGCCTTCTTTTCACCATCACACGGTCCATGCGATTTTGACAAGCCACTACCTGCTTCACTGTGCCAGCTATTGAATCGAATGAACCTGGCTAGTGCCTCTGTCGCATAATGTCTTTGCTCACTTACAACGTTCACGTCGACTATGAGGCGCAATTGGAGGGATTCAAGGACTTCCTGAAGCATTTCAAGAGCTTTGAGTCGGCGTCCGAGTCTGCCGCGACCGAAGCCATTGAAGACCTCAACCTCGAAGAGGATGGCACCAGTGACGAATATGATTTCATGGATGATGTAGAGGATGGCGCACAGCGGCCTGGCCGCAGACGACGAGAGCCGAAGCTCAAGTATATGCAGCTGTTGCAGGATGTTGCTGATCGAGAGCGCACGAATATTTTGATCGAATTGGACGACCTAGCTACTGTAAGGGCTCGATATATCACGTCTATCCCAGACATCTCTAATGTCAGAATAGTATGAGAAGTCTCTTCCCGATGATACAGACTTGCGCCTCGTCGAAAGTGTGCAAAAGAATACTCACCACTACATTGAGCTTTTCTCGCGGGCAATCGACGATCTCATGCCCAAGGAGAGCAAGGACATCACGTATGCCGGCCTGTGTTCGCTCATGTTGTAAAACTGCTGATTTTTCCCAGGTTCAAGGACGATGTGCTCGACGTGATCATGTCGCAACGTGAAAAGCGAAACGAAGCCATGCTTATGGCGGCCGAAGCCAATGCAGATGCAGAGGCTGCCGACTCGATCTTCCCTCCTGAGCTGACTCGTCGCTACACGGTCAACTTCAAACCACTCACACCCTCCGGATCGAGCACCGACCGTCAGTCCAAGGCTATCGCAGTGCGGAATGTGCGGGCAGAACATATCGGTAGCTTGATCACAGTCCGCGGTATCACGACTCGTGTCTCGGACGTCAAGCCTGCCGTTGAAATCAATGCTTATACGTGTGATCGCTGCGGAAGTGAAGTGTTCCAACCAGTCACCACGAAGCAATTTCTTCCGATGACAGAGTGTAAATCGACGGAATGTCAAACAAATCAGTCAAAGGGGCAGCTGTTCCTTTCCACACGTGCCTCGAAGTTCGTTCCGTTTCAAGAAGTCAAGATCCAGGAGATGGCGGATCAGGTGCCCGTGGGCCACATCCCGCGAACCATGACCGTCCACTGCCATGGAAGCCTCACTCGTCAGCTGAACCCTGGAGATGTTGTTGATATTGCGGGTATCTTTCTCCCTATTCCCTACACTGGGTTCAGGGCTATCCGTGCCGGTCTCTTGACCGATACCTATTTGGAAGCCCAACATATCACTCAGCACAAGAAGTCCTACCAAGATACGGCTATGGATAGTCGCACTCTTCGCAAGATCGAACAGCACCAGAAGTCTGGAAACATGTACGAATATCTGTCGCGATCGATTGCACCGGAGATCTACGGTCACCTTGATGTCAAGAAGGCATTGCTCTTGCTTCTCATTGGTGGCGTAACGAAGGAGATGGGCGATGGTATGCACATTCGTGGTGACATCAACATCTGCCTGATGGGTGACCCTGGTGTTGCCAAGTCTCAGCTGCTCAAATACATTTCCAAGGTCGCCCCTAGAGGTGTCTATACTACGGGTCGTGGTAGCAGTGGCGTTGGTCTTACGGCTGCGGTCATGAGGGATCCTGTCACCGACGAGATGGTCTTGGAAGGCGGAGCTCTTGTCCTAGCCGACAATGGTATTTGCTGCATTGATGAATTCGATAAGATGGACGACTCCGACCGGACTGCTATCCACGAAGTGATGGAGCAGCAGACCATTTCCATCTCCAAGGCAGGAATTACAACCACGCTCAATGCTCGGACCTCGATCTTGGCCGCCGCTAACCCGCTTTACGGCCGATACAACCCGCGGGTGTCTCCTGTCGAGAACATTAACCTGCCCGCTGCGCTACTGTCTCGTTTCGATGTTATGTTTTTGATCCTCGATACCCCTTCACCCGATGCCGACGAAGAGCTTGCCAACCATGTGACATATGTCCACATGCACAATCGACACCCCGAAACCGAGGATGCAGGCGTCATGTTCACGCCCCATGAGGTCCGCCAGTATATCGCCAAGGCCCGAACCTACCGACCGGTTGTTCCATCCTCTGTCTCGGATTACATGGTGGGAGCGTACGTGAGAATGCGGAAACAGCAGAAGAAGGATGAAGACGAGCGGAAGCAATTCTCCCACGTCACCCCCCGTACGCTCTTGGGTGTTGTCCGTCTGTCGCAGGCTTTGGCCCGTCTGCGCTTCAGCGATGTCGTCGTTATCGAGGATGTCGACGAGGCGCTGCGTCTGATCCAGGTCAGCAAGGACTCCTTGTCCAGCGATGGCCAGTCGGGTCTGGACCAGAGCCCTAGCAGCAAGATCTACCACCTCATCCGCAGCATGTGGGAGAGTGGTGCCGCGGCGGTCGGCGACGGTGAGGAGGGTGAACTCAGCATGAGACGTATCCGCGAGCGGGTGCTAGCCAAGGGTTTCACCGAGGACCAGCTTACCATGGCTGTGGATGAGTATGAGAATCTGAATGTGAGTTTCCCCTGGTTCATTTGACTACGGTATTAGTGTACTGATGCATTCTGTCAGGTCTGGCAACTTGTGGGTGATGGCAGCCGTCTGCTTTTCGTCGATACCATGGATATGTGAGCAACGGAGATCTGTCTGTCTGGGTGGAACGGTTTTTCGGGGTGTTTTTGATTTTCGATATGCTTCTGGTCGGTCAACCGTTTCGTGTTTGGGAGACGTGCCGTGCTTGAGGGTTGGTAGCTAGAAATCGGATTGGTGTTTTTGGTGTATAAAAATTCATGCTTCGAAAGTGTTAGGGTAATCATAATATGTGTGAAAAAGCAATTTACGATGACTAACATGGGCCTTCCTTTCGATGATTTTTCTTCATCATTCACAGTGTCGGATGAGATGAACAGGGTTCTACACTTGATACCGAGAATTTTTAAACAGGGCTTACAGAATGAACACAGCTCAGATGAACCCAAAAGACTTCACGGTCGCGCAATCAGCGATGCATATATATTACTTCTACCAAGGCAACGCAAAGTCCTATCAAGCTTGTCGTTGTCCAAAGATACACTCTGTCACAACGAAGATTCCTCCCCCAGTTTCCCTTGATATCCAAGATCATAAGGTCAACTTCCTCCCCAAAAAGGCCCCCATCATCACCAACTACAGCACCTTAACCCTCCTCATCTCCCACCCTAAAACAAGCTCAGCATCCACCTCGACCCCCACCCCCACCCCCGGGCCCCAAAGGTTCCCCCTCTCCCCTCAACCCCGCTAAACCGGACAAGCATTCTGAACCGGCACCTCGGCACAGAGCTGCGGACTCGCGCCGTACGGGTTGTCGCACAGCGTATTGCACTGGGTGAACTCGGGGACGAAGACCAGGAACTGGTAGTTGGGGAAGGGCAGCCGGAACTGCTTGGAGACGTCGGCGTTGGCGGGCGAGGCCTTGTAGCCCGCGCGGCAGGCGCAGTGGAAGCGCGTGCCCGTGTTGATGCACGAGGTGGTCACGTCGCAGTTGTTCTGGCCGGAGAGCGGGTTGCAGGTGCCGCAGATGGGGGCCGCGGGGGGTTGCGTGCCGGTGGGGGATGCGGTGGCGAGGAGGGTGAGGAGGGCAGTTGCTAGGAGGAGGGAGGGGGTATACATTTTGACGATATTCCAAAAATGGTTGGGGTGTTTTTGGTAGGGTTGGTATGCTTGAGATGCTTGAGATGCTTGAGATGCTTGAGATGCTTGAGTGGTGTGTTGGTTTGATGTACTGCAGCTGATGTGATTTGATTGAGGCAGTTCTTGGAACTGAGAAGGACTAAGTGATGCTGGTGCTGATGCTGGTGCTGATGCTGGTGCTGATGCTGGTGCTGATGAAGAGTGGAAATGCCTCGATTGATCAGGGCTTGCGGATGAGGGCTTATATAGCTATGGCTTTCCTGGTGGCAGAGGTCAAGGTTGCAACGGTTGCAGAAACTGGGTATAGAGCACTGCCCTATTGATTCCAAGGCAATTGGTTATGGCATGACATGGCGGGTCTTGAGAAACCATGACATCGGTAAGTGGATCCCAAGATAGGGCTCAGTGTTACTATTCCCGGTGAAGCTCGTATAGCTCTGAGGCAGGGTCGTGCACCGGATACTGCTCTATGTCTTGAACCCTAAGGACGACCATCCAGTCAAGGACGAAGTCTGAACGACGAGTACAGCCCTCAGCCCTCAGCCCCCCGCCCCCCCAACACACACGTCCTAGAACTGGTTCCTTTGAGACAACAGGGTCTATCTTGGATGTTGGTGAAAATAGAAGATGGGATCCACCAATCCATACGTATATGCTTCGGCAGCGCGGGTGGCCGTCCTGAATACGAGGTCTATAGCTAGGTGTATTCAGGTAACCCCTGCCCATTTGCACTGGCGGTGCTCGTCAGTTCCAGGTAGATGTGAGACAGTGTAATGGTTCTTGTTAGGCTTAGCTGGTGGTTCGCATCAGGTGATGTAGTATCGGGTCGTTTTGCTCCAGCTGCATGTCTTTGATTAAGCTCAGAAGTGTGCACGGACAAGAAAAGAGCCCCTTCTTTTTTGAATTGCCCAAGGATGGGGGGTGGGAGGTTATTGGAGCGTGTCCGCGTGACGAGTATATGCCCAGGTAGTTCTTCAAGGACTTTTTCTGACGATATGTCTCATGGAGACAAATGGTACGTTAGAAGAGCTAGGTCAGGCCCAAGCTCTTAGTCGAGGGTTTTCTTGGGCTGCAGAAGCACTAGGGATTGCTGTCTCTCATGGACACGTTCTGAAACCGGCGTTTAGAGCTATCGAAAATAGACTTGACAGCTCTGCACTACAGTAAAGCGGTGGATCAAAGTACTCTGATAGAAGACCAATAGACTTGTCGCTGGGTAAGATACGGCAGTGGCTAGATCCGACTATTGTTATATTCGAGTTTGTGGTTGAAGCTACGCATGTCAGGCGTGCTGGATGCGAACTGAGCCTTGTGGCTCTCAAGAACGAAGCATGTCCTGTTGTACGACCATTTCTCATCTGAAGCAAGAACTGTGCAAAGCAAAGGCAGACACCGTTCATCGACTCGTTCCAGTAGAGTTTTGTGTTCCCGTGTCTCGAGCGATGGGCGAAAAAAGTCAATCGCGCATATACCCCGGATTTGGGGCGGAAATGCATTCAGCCTTGCCTCAAATACGAGCTTGTTGCAGACGTCACTTTGGCTACCAGGGAGCAATCCATGTATTTATAGACAAGATACGTGCCAAGCGTCCATAGGGAATGAATTTCATTATGTCATGACCTAGCACAGCTCCATAAATGCAAACTGTCGACTATGATTACAGCCTCCGGGACGATCCTAGCAGAGACATCCTCTACAGGTGCATCTTGGACGCTTCAGGCTCGCCAATCAACTTGAGGAAGCTCTCGTGGACCTCATCCGTCAAGTCGCTGGCCTGCATACTTCGGCCCTTGGCCAGGAAAGCCCGTCGGGAGCACTCCCGCGTAATCGAGCTACCAGCAAACGCAGCCAGAAGCAGGGTCGTGCAAGGCGACATCCGCTTATCCTCGGACTCGAGCTCCGCCCGAATGTCTTCCTTGGTCTGCGCTTCTTTGGCGTTGTCTTTCTCACCGGAGTCCCAGAGCCCGTCGTGGTAGGCAGCTCTCCATGCGAGAAGCGTGCCCAAGGAGCCCGTCAGCGTATCGCCTTGCCCGCCACTGCGCTTCAAGCCTCCCTGGATATCCGAGATGAGCGTCGTGATGCCGTTCGAGATCACATCATGGGGACCCTTCTGGATGATGGTGACACCACCCAGCGCATTAGACAACTGCTCACAGGCCTTGGATTCCTCGCTCGTTCGGTCAGCGCCGTCGGATTTGGAGTTGATTTCCGCGAGACTCGGCACGTCGATGCCCAGCGCTTTGGCCAGGCGACTGAACTCGTTCACGTTGGGCGTCAGAATGCACTCTTTGTACCCGCGGACCAGATCCGGATCCTCGGTCACGAGGAGGAGGCCGTCGGCGTCGAGGACAAAGGGAATCGAGCGGGACCGCGCCTCTTTCATCACCTCCGTCACCACCTTGAGGGTGACCCCATCGCGACCCAGTCCGGGTCCGATCACCAGGCAATGCAGCCGAGAAAGCATGTTGATGATCGGGCTAGCGAGTGATGGTGCATCGATGGACTCGGGGTCCTTGACCGAGGCGCTGCTTGGCAGAATCGGGTGAACCATCAGGTTCGGCGAGTAGGTTTTGATGACCTGGACGAGCAACAATATGAGCATTTCCCCCTCCTCATCCTATTGAAGCCGGGTGAGATCTATCACTTACGGTGGCTGCCGATTTATCACAAATAACGTGGCTCTTTTTGTGATTCGTCAGAACGGAGATCTCATGCACGCAAGCAGACAAAGTGGGTTCCAGTCGCCTACCATATCACATCCTGCAGCTTCCTGTCAGCTTGGGCATCCCTGCCAAATAAACTTGGAAGAAATGCTTACCTAGTCTGGCCGATGCCATTGAGGAGAAGTACGGCGCGCCTGTGTAACTATAACATTCCTCTCAGTTTGTTGCAGTTCGAGTCTTTGGTTTGGGGGGCAACGAACTCTAAAGATCCTCCGATGACTGCAACACGTCCATGCTGTCCTATATTGCTAGTAAGTCGAGAGACTTAGCGCAATGCAAGGGCTGCCAGATGCGAACCTTTGTGGAATTGCTCCAACATGGGCGGCACCATTTTGCGCACCTTCTTGAGAAGAACTTTGGACGAGGTTGATACATGATGGACAGACTCCATTTTTGTTGTGACCAAGTACAGTGGGTGATTTCGACTTCTAAAGAACGATTGACAACAATTTGATGGATTGGAAGCAGGTATTGTATTCTACGATTAGAAGGTGAGCTGATGTGGTTTAAAGAGACGGCGGGTGGAGGGAGGATAAAAGTGATGTCACCGCCTACAGGTGGGGCTGATTGAAGTAATGATAAGAAATCCGGTCCGTCCATGCAGGGCCAATCTGTTACTCAGTCTTTTCTTGTTCAACAATGACGATTGCGTTGGTAATGGTTCAATTCTATTGCAGAGTCCTGGTCCTGCAGTGTGGCCTGAAGCTCGAAGCTCAAACTAGACAACAGCGACGCTCCCCATGATTGTATGTAAACATTGTGGTAAAATATGTGACTCGAAAGAAGACGATTCAACACTCCATCTATCGACACCTTAATGCTCGCTGATGCTCATCGGAACGATTTCAAAGACAGCAAAAGGGCAAGAAAAGAAAGAAAACAGCAACGACATATGTAATGCACCCTCGGGGTATTCCTCGCTGATGCTCCGTTTCCAGGGAAAAATCACAAAACACATAGGAAAATGATGGAGTGGCAGGGCGGGTCCGCCTATGTGTACGGACATCAATAAGTAGTCCAGTCTTTATTCGTCCATTGTATACTTCCACCGCATTATCGACGCGCAGCCAGCGCATTGAGCTTCTTGAGGCGTTCCATTTTAGCCTGCTTGGCTGCCTGTTCAGCATTCCATTCCTCCTCATCCTCGCGCCTGGCCGCCGCCAGAGCAGCAGCCTCTTCCTCCTCCATAGCATCGTAGCCGGCCTCCATATCGGAAGATCCCGAATCGTAGTCATCGTAGTCGTCGGCATAGTCACCCTCATCTTCCTCATCGGTTCCCAAGTACTCATCCATTCTCGACCGTTTGCTTCGAGACTGGGCCCTGAGTTCATTCGGATTCCGTTTGGCCGGCAAGCCCGCTGTTCCACGATATTCGGGTTGTGCGGGACGGGGTGTAGGCCGTGAAGTGCCTTTGTAGGAGAGCTCTTCTGGCTCCCGTTTTTTCACCGGCTTCGTAGCACCAGGTTTGGCACTTCCAGCTGCAGTAGCAGTGGCGCCAGGCTTTTTAGCCGACCGACTATCCTTCTCTTTGGTTTGAGCTTCTGTCGCTCGTTTCTTTCGTTCTACCTTGCTAAGCTTCTCCTTAGCAGCAGCCTGATGCTTGAACATACCCACCTGTGTGGGGGTCTTTTCCTGTAGCGCCTTGGCTTTTGCCATGAGGTCTGCAAAGGAGCCTTTGGGGGGTGGTTTCGAGGACACCTGCGCTGATCTTTGAGGCGTGGATGAGCGACTTGTGGAGGCGGACGCCACAGCAGCTGTGGGAGCACTGGGACGTGCCCTTCCAGCTGCGGGGATTGCGGGTTTAGTGGCGGTTGGTCTGAAAGGGGCTGGCGGTGCCAACTTTGACGAACGGGGCAGCGACTCGTCGGCTTTGCGCTTTATCCCCTGCGTGAGGGGTTTCCGTTCCATTGTTGGGGGAGCATTCCGTGGTCCAAGACTGGTCTTGCGTACTTCGGTTCTGACAGTGGAGGAAGTGACAGGTGGCGATACGGTGGAGGAAACTTGAGGGATTGGGGACGGTTTGCCCGTCTCGATGGACGAGAGAACAGAATCGAGAAACTGGCATGATTATCAGTAACGGCATCGAAGAGGGTGAAGGATGGGGTTCCGTACACTCATGATGAATTTTCAGATGAAAGAAAAATGAGTTTGAGCAGAGGTAGTGTCAAAAAACCCAGACAAGGATGCGAACAAAGAGGGCTTCACCGTCGGTGGTTAGTATGACGGGGTAACTTCATGACTTCGTTGCGGAGCCAC